AAAGGAACCTTCAAAACCACAATGAGACACCACCTCACACACTCCACAATGACGCCTATCAAAAATAGCTAGAGAGCAGAAATACAAGTGTAGGCAACAATTTGGAAAGGCTGGAGCCCTTGTGCACTGTGGATGAGAAATTAAAAGGTGCAACTGCTATGTAAAACCGTGCAGTAGTTCCTCAAAAAATTAAAAATAGAATGATTGTATGACCCAGTGATCTAACTTCCAAGTGTATGTCTAAAGAATTGAAAGTAGTGTCTCCAAGAAATATTTGTACAACCGTGTTCACAGCAGCATTATCTATTATACAGTACATTATCCATTCCATTACATTATATGTCATGCTAAATGTCTAAGCCACACAAGTGTCCATCAGTGGGTGAATGTCTAAACATGTGGATCAATATGCACATTCAATGATACATTATCCAGTCTTCAAAAGGAAAGAAATCCTGACATATACCACAAGATGAATAAACTTTAAGGACACTGTGCTAAGTGAAACAAGCCCCCACCACCACCAGCCCACACTCTCTATATGATTCTTCTTACATGAGGTGCCCAGAGTAATTATATTCATCGAGACAGTAGGTGAATGACGAGTATGGAAAGCAGGATGGTGTCAGGGGCTGGAAGGAGAGGGAAGTGGGGAGTTTTAGTGCCCACAGCTTCATTTTAGCAAGAGGTGAAAGTTCTGGAGCTTGGTTGCACAATGTGAGAATACTACAAACTATACCCTGAAAAATGGTATGTTGTATATCTTTTATCATAATTGAAAGGAAGAAAAGAAAGGGAATCTTTCTTGTGACCTCAATCCCATCTCATGCACCTCTTCTAAGGAGGCTGATTCCATTCCCTCCCCTCCCAGATTATCACAAAAGTTGGTGGTGAGGGGCAGGCACAATATTTATGCATGTGCTTAAGGAAGTTTAAGATTACAAATCAAGATAACACAAAAGTAAATAAAACTTTTTCTATTTCTATTCCTAACTTGAAAACTACTTCTTTGTAACAAGATGAAAAAGAGAGCAAAGTTGTGGCTTTTAGAATACAAAAGTCAGTGAGCTATCCAGGCTCTGGCACCGTCCACCCTGTGGAAATGCACCATCCAAAAATGTCCCACCAAGCACACAAGGTCAGCAGGGTCTGAATACTGTGAGGAGGGGTCAAGTTCATCCCTGGGCAATTCTCTGCTTTCTCTGATATTGAAGAATGTGGCTTATCTGATCAGAGTAGCGTGAATCGTGTGCCATGGTGATCAGGGAATTAACTTATTAACCAAGTTGAAGTCAAAACTCCTGACCCAAATGAACAAAAAGGGAGGTAGTTATCTTCCTTTGGAGATGTGAGGTACTATTATCCAAAACACAGTGTGTCCTGAGCAACATCCACCCCTGTGTGTGTGTATGTGTGTATGTTTGATTATCTATTGATATGTTTCATGTGGCCCCTTAGTACACAGGTTGATCAAGCTGCTATGAGAAAGGGTTGAATGTGTCATTTTCTTTTTCTGGATCAAGTGCTTCTCTCCATAATAAAATGCTATAAAATAAGAATTCTTTTAGCCCTTTCCCTGCCTCCAGAATGCTGTGCTCATAAATGAGGTAATGTCTGTAAAGTGCTGTGATCTCCTTGAATACAAATGCTGTGTAAATATATAGGATGATTAGCCAAGTCGCTCAAAAACTAGTCTGTGCTTGAATGCATTGGGAAGCAAAGAGGACCAGAGGAAGCATAAGACTCATCATTTCCAAGGCCAAACTGCCCTGTTTTGGAGACTCACAGTTACCTCCCACCGATTGATGGGTTAAAGTACTTGATGAACAAGACGCACAGAATTCTAAGCAATTTCCATGTTGGATGATTTCTCAGGAAGATAATTAAAACGAAATTCTCTTTGGGTTTTATATATCAGTGCTGTCCACCTACACTAATATGTTCACCAAGGTTCCCACTTGCATACTTTTAAAGGAATCTGGAGTTCAATAAAAGAAACAAAAGGCTCTTCTATCTTATTTTTCATTTTGAAAGAAGGAAGCAGAGGTAAAGGAAGGAGGAGGTGGGGAAGATCATGTTTCAAGTCATTTCTTCTGTCTCTTAGAAATCAGGGATCTTAGACTTGGAAAGGATTGTAGTGGTCAACCAAGCCACCTCCCCTTTTCCTTATAGAACTTATAGATGGTTGGTAAGGACCAACCAGGTAAATTAAACTTTGCAAGTTTACATAGTTAGTAAGATAGTAGGACTTGGATTCAGGTTTCCTAGCCCTACTTTTTACCATCAATCATTCTGTTTCATTTTGCCCCTAAGACCTCAACTGTCTCATCTATAAAATGTAAATGAAAATCCAAACTGACTAAATAGAAAGACAGCTGAGAAATATGAACACTTGAGATCCCTTCTAGCTTTCAACAAATATTTTTAGAGAATACTAAATAATGGAATATCCAGTCAAATAAAAGGTTTTTCTTTTCATAAAAATAAGTCAGGAAGTAAATCCAGTGGTTGGTATTTGTTCAATGATTTAATGATGTCATGATGAACCCAAATAATACTATATTTCTAGACTATCATATTAAGTGCTAGCTTCATATTGTATGACTCTTCCCTCATGGTTACAAGACAACTTGTTCAACATTTTTTTCTTCAAGATTTCATTTAATATTTCATATAAACACCAAACATGTGATAAGATCATTTAATCTTACAACCATGTTAGCTGTAGTTCTTTCACAAAAACTCTATCAAACTGAGATCAGTCCCTTCATAATTGATGAGAGGTTTTTTTTAATTTAATTTATTATGCATAGAAGAACTGGGGTACAGGCCAGAGGTGTAAGGGGATAAGAAGATTCACCAGAGACAGAACAGGGAGAAGAACAGGCAGATGGACTGAAATACACTGCTGAAGGGGGCAGCAGGAGCGAGAAGAGTGTTGTGCTTTAATCGGTTGCACCACCAAGGCGGGCCCTGATAAGAATTTTTAAAATCGTGAATGAGCATTGAATTTTATGAAGTGAATTTTCTTCATGGACTGAGAGCATATGAATCACTTGAATTTTCCCCTTATCCATTTACATAGTGAATGACATGGATTGATTTTTAAGATGTTGAAACACCTTACATTTCTCTAAAATTTCTCACCTGGGTAAGCTTTCTTATTCCTTTTAGATGTTGTCATACTTGACTTGCCAGTATTTTGTTAGAATTTTTCGTATCTGTGTTCATAAGTGAGATATATCATTTTCTTGCTATCATATAAGGATTATTCTGACTTTATATTAAAAGTTAGGAAGAACTCCCACCTCTTAGTTGTCTAAATTTATACAAGGTTGATATGATTTCTTTTTCAAATGATTGACAAACTTTACTACTGTAACCACTGAGCCTTGAATGTTCTTTGGTAGACCTTAAAAATATGGAATTATTCAGACATTCTATATCTTTTTATGCCAATTTTTGGAAATTGTACTTTTCAAAGAATTTTTCCATTTCATCCAAATTATTGAAATTATCAACATAAAGTCATTCATAATGTTTTCTTCTTATTATTTTAATTTCTGTAGGATCTGCAAGGGTGTTGTTCCTCTATATTGATATTAGTTATTTGTGGTTTTAGCTTTTTTCCAGAGCAATTTCATTAAGAGCTGAAAAAGAGTTTATTAATATTTTCAAAGAACTAACTTGTTGGTTTTGTCAGTGTTGTCTAACACTTTTTTTAAATTTCCTCCTTCACTTTAGGCTCATTTTGCTTTTCTTCTTATAACTTCTTGAAGTGGAAGCTTAAATAAATTATTCCAAATTTGCTTTTCATTATTAAAATAAGCTTTTAAAGCTATGAACTGCTTGCTAAGTACTGCTTTGGCTACATTCCATGCATTTTACTATGTCATATTTTCATTATCATTCTATTTGAGTTGATTTCTATTGCCCTCAAGATTTGTGGCTGGCATAAAATAAGAACTCAGTATGTTATATCCCATTAGAACAGTTTTTCATCTCATTTCATTATTCCAAATTGATAGGTCACTTTCACAATTGTGCTCCTTCACCCTTCAGAAATTTTTCACTTTTCCCACTGCCTGAAGCAGTGTTAATTCCTATTCATCCTTGCACTGTGATCTCACTTCCTCAAAGAAGTTTTTCCTGATGACCCACACTGGAAAACTTCTCACAACTGAGAAGTTGTGAAGAACTTACTTGGAAATAGTCTTTTCAGATGTAATTACGAAGATAATAGATCAAGATGGATGCTAAATACAATATGATTGATGTATTTATAAGAAGAAGGAAATGTGGACTCAGACACACAGGGAAGATAACATATGACAGAGGCAGAGATGGGAGTGATGCATCTACACAACAGAGAAATACTAAAGATTGCTGGCAACTTCCAGAAGGTAAGAAGAGGCAAGAAAGAATCCTCCTGTGGAGTCTTTGGAGAGCGCATGGCCCTACCTATCTTGATTTCAGGCTGCAGCTTCTAGAATTATGAGGGAATAGTTCTGGTTTTTTAAGACACCCAATTTGGGGTAACCTGTTGCAGCCTGCAATTTTAGTGTTTCCCTTGAAGGGATCTACCATGCTGAAAACCAGTATCTCAAGTAGTAAGGACTTGGAAAAGCAATTATTTTGAGCCTTAACTTCTCTCTATAAAAACATCAAAAATCGAGTAAAAATGCCTAGTTCTTAGTAGGTTTTCAGGTGTTGTTTGCCATAATCTTCAAGACCACAAAGATTAAAGAACAGCCATAAACACTTAAATTAACGCTGCAGTCTGGTTATGACCAGAAGATGGGCTGGGGACGGTGGTAACCTAGCAATAATACTGGTTACTCCTTTTGCTTGTAACATCCAAAGCGCATTAATTAGCTCATGTGCTTAGCGCAACTGCTTCACACAGATCACCAACCAGCAGGGGTAGGCCCCGCCCCGACCCCGCCCCCGGCGCTGGCCCCGCCCCGGCGTGCGCGCTCCCGGCGCGGGTTGACGCGGCGCCGCCAGGGCCCCGCGGCTGTGCGGCTCTGGGGAAGGAGTGAAGCCTCCCGGAAGTCCGACCGCTTTGCCACCGTCACCTCGCCACAGTGGCGGTGATGCGCGCGGCTAGCGGCTCCCGGGAGCCCGGGCCGCTAAATCGGGCGTTGCCGATCAGGTGAGGCTGCCTTGCGGCGCGGATCAGGGGAGGACGGCCGGCCGAAGCAACCGGCCCTGACGGGGACTGTTGGAGCGGGGGACACGCGGGGCGGCCAGGGTCGTGAACAAGCCCCTCGACCCCCGGGGCCTTTCCGCGCCTGCTGCGGGTCTGCCCCGCATCGGTGCTGCCCGCGCCGGCCGGGCCGCGCGGCCACATCCGGGCGCTCCCGCCGTCAGTCCCGGTGACCCCGGGTGGCAGGTGCTGTCCCCACCCCCTGGCAGGAGAAGCCTGCTGTTGTGCTCGCTCCGGTGACCACGCAGCATTCCCCCTCCCTAGCGCGCTGTGTGGGCAGATTCTCGCCCGCCCAGGGGCGGGACCTGGCCCAGGGGAAGGGATGCCGCACCGAGGACCCCGCGGGTCCTGTCTACCCCCGTCTCTGGACATAGACAGCTTCGCCATCCTTATTTTATAGGATTTAAGTTTCATGATTTGGATCTCTCCTGGGGGGTGGGGGGGATGGAGTTCTAACTGGGCGATAAAGTGATAGTGAGGGCGGTGTTTCTCAAACTTGAATGATGCGAGGAAACCTTTTAAAGAGACAGTTCTGGCATTTGCCAGACGAGTCCCAGAACCTGCAGCAGTCTCCAGACCCCAATTAGACGAACATTGTTGCAGAGCATTTTTAGAGAACATTTTTGTCACTGTGTAGGGAAAAAAGTTCCTTTATAATTTAGGAACTTCCGTGTCAGGGAAAAAAACTAGAGGTTATTAAAGAATAATGAATTAGAGACCCAGATTCCTACTTTGATTGAACATTGCAGTCTATACTATGTTTTGCATCATGTAATGAAAATACCTAATCGTCCACCCTTGGAGAGACCTAAAAGAGTCAGTTTTTTGCTTATCTTTTATTTTATGTTATCTTTGTCTTTGTATCAGGTTTGTTAATTATCTCTTGCTTATTTAGCAGAACTATGAAATACTAATATGTGTACATACCTTGTTCCTGTGGCTATTTTATCTCTTGTTTTTGTTAATTGAATCTGTGGTTTGCATTTTTCTAGCCCTACAGGAAGGCATCAGACTAACCACTGTGTATACTGGAAGAAAAAACAAAAATGAGATTGATCTAAGGATTTATACTCTCCATATTTAGTTAGCATGTTTACTTTTAAAAGCCTGCAAGTGAATGAAAAGAACATTAGAAACTATGGCAAGTTAAGTCTTGACAAATAAAAACATCAACCTGTGGAATTCTGAGATCAGACACGTTAGTTAGGAAACGCAACCTTAGTAAAAGCCAGAGGCAAAAGGCAAGAATGAAAATGTGTAGGAGAGAAGAAATTGTCTCACCTCACTAGTGCAGAGAGATGTTATCTGAGGCTGTAGAGACAAAATGGGACAGCTATTATTGTTGACCCATGTCTCCAGGAGGCTCTTGAGCTGTCATTGTTGTATTTTGAAAGCAGTGTTTCCAAAGAGGTGTTTCCAAAGAGTGGCACTCACAGTGAAAGCAGAAGGTGAATGATCCACCAAGAGATGTCTTAAGGTAGCAATAATGTCTGCTGCAGTCATTTTAGATGTGTGAACTGTTTAGTTGTGTGTCGACCATTCAAAGAAGAATTGACAGGCCCTGGTGAATACTATGCCACAGAGAAACGGCAAAGTTAAGAACCAAGTGGCCCTAATCAATCAGGATACCCCTTTTAGACCTGGAGAATTTGGAAGTGGTTTTAGTTGGTGTGAAGACTGTCACCTCAAACTTAGGTAAGAGCATCAGTAAGCTTGGATGTGTAACAGAACTTGAAAGTAAGAATCACAGATCTGGGAAACTAATAGGTGATGCAGGAAAAGTGTGCTTAGATAAAGACCATTTGAAACTGGGACCAGAATTTCGCAAAGGAGCAGTAAGAGGTAGTTCATTTGCATTGTTTTCTCTGTCTGCCTTAAGGTCTGTCAGGGAGAGACTGACAAAGACATTGACGGGTGATCAGATCAGATGGGCTTTCCTCTACTAAAGAATGTGCAGCCTGGGAGGCCTTGCTGTAACATTAATTAATGCATCTTTCCAGTGACATGTCTGCCACATTTTAGTCCTTTTTAAAACATGACACTTTTATGTAGTATTGCTGAGTTTGCCTCCCTAAGCTCTGGTGCCAAGATTCTTAGCTGCAAGTACAACTGGAGTTTATATTTTAAGATCAAATTACACTATCGCCCTAAATAAAAGTAATTATTTCAGAAATTTAGTAGCTGTCTTTTTTTTTGTCTACCTTTAAATGTAATTTTATAACTTGCAAAAGTACCTATCCTTTTTATTGCAATCCTTACATATCTCAAAAAAAAAAGGCCTAATACAAGCGCCAGATCAAATAACTCCCTAAGTATACCATGCACCACATTCCAACAGTGTGTCTTCTCCTGGGAAATGTGCTCTTCTCTCTTTCCCTTTCCAAAGTCCACCTCCCATCTCCAGGAACCTTTTCCAACTAGCTAGACCTTATTGGGCTCTTCTCTGAACTCTTACAATTTATCATTGCTTTCTGAATTCTTTTGATTATTTCTTGGGGATTAGTATTTTCTCTGTACCAGTCTGCAAGCTCCCTGAAATTTGGAGTGAGGTTTGTTACACCTGTACCCTTCACATCATTTCATGGTGTTCCTCATTGGAAGCATTCTTCCCCCAGGGACCTTGATTTTGAATGGTTAACAAAAACTTGCTTTTGTTCTTAGTTCAGCTATCACGTCATTATCATTGACTTAAAAAATGTTCAGATAGACATTCCTATGGCATGAAAAGTTTTCAAATAGACCTTAATATTTCCAGAAGAGAGTTTAATGCTGGAAACTAGAGATGCACTCTAGGCAGCTTGTTACAAATAGTTTCCTTGATGCTATTGATGATAAACAACACATAATAGTACTGTCTGTCCTTTGAAAACTAAAGGCAAGCCTAGGGAAGAAAATAGAAATTTATTGTCTCACTACTCAGAGATAACTAGCCAAGTTAACATTTTGGTTTCCCTTCTTCCATACTTAGCCCTCTATGCATGATGTAGGTAGTTTTTCATGCAGTATATCATAGGTAGCTTCCCATGTCAATAAATGAAACTGCATTTAATAGTCACATCATATGCTCTTGCATAAAATGATGTTTACTTTTATGCATTCTCCATAGTACACATTAGTTTAATAACTTTGATTTGGTATTATACATAATACTGTGGTGAACATCTTAATATATATTTGGATGAATTTACCCTATTAGTTCCCATAGATCAATTTAAGTTTAATAAAGTGAAGAATAAGCACTTTTAAATGGCAGCTAAATGCCCCAGAGGTCAGTACATATTAGAGGCTCACCAGGGGCACTCACGACCTTTCCCCACCCCTCTTCCTATACTCAGGCTTTGCTTTTGGTTTATCAATGTTTTGTATTTATTTTGTTAATTTAATGCTTTCCATTTCTCCTCACTACTGCACTGTAAAGCCCATAAGGGTTGAGTCCCTATCTGATTCATCTGTCTCCCATTCCCAACCATCCATGAAGCAAACAATGGTTGTATGACTGGCACTGGCCCCTGGGAAAACAGAAGAATAAGAGGGTGCCCTGCTGCATTGAGGGGCTTGCTGTGTGATGAGTAAGTCAACTATGAGGATGATGCTCTCACCCCTGCTGTCATGTGCAGATGCTCTAGGGTATAAGAGTTAAGGAATTCCTCGCAGAGGACTCCTGCTCTGTGTGTCCTGAGACACACAGGAATGCCAGCAGGTGGCCTGGAGAGAGAGTATCTGCAAGTGCAGGGGAAGGGGGCCCTTCTGCTCATTCAGTGCTGGAGCATAGGGACCTGCAGAGGTCTGTCCAGGGAGGAGACTGGAGAGAGACAGGAACTAGGAAAGTGCTGCCTAGTGCAGGAATTACATCGGGCCTCTGAACACTCAAAATGTGGCAGCGAGGGCAGCCAGGGAGCTGAAGTTCTAACCGTGATTATGTTAGCCACGGTAACAGGTGGCCGCCACAGGTAGCCGCCACAGTGACCAGACTGGGTCACTAGGGATCTCCTTAGGGCTTTTTCACAAGTAAGAGAGAAAACCTGGGCGGAATCACTATTCCTGTTTGTTTTGGAAAAAACGGAATGATTTTGGATCTCAGAACTCAAACTTGACTTCTTGCCAAGTGTCTTCCTGGGGACTGTGATGATGAGAAAGCCACTCAATCAAGCAGGCAAATCTCACCCTCCTGGAACTGCTTTCAGGGGAAAACACCTGAACAAGAGAAATGAGAAACATAAGCACACAAGAGGACAAGGACAAGAGCATGGATGCTCATGCCTGAGTCCAGCTCCTTTATTTATAATCACCTTGTATTCCTGTGTGACTTTAGGCAAGTTGCTTAGCCTCTCTGCCTCTGCTGTAAAGTAGTATGCAAATAGTACCTTCTAGATTTTTAGGAGGAATATATTAATATTTGCAAAACGTTAAGCACAGCCTGACATAATAAGCACAATAAGTGCTACGTAAATAAGAAACTGCTAAAGGGGAAAAAATTAATCAAGGACGGGAGGTGGGTGGAGGAGAAAGCTTGCCATTTTTTTTTTAAGATTTATTTATTTATGCACATATTTATGCATATAGAACTGAGGTACAGGCCAGAGGTGCAGGAACAGTGAGAAGATTCTCCAGAGACAGAGTGGGGAGCAGAACAGGCAGATCGATGAAACACACTATTGGGCAGGTCAGGAGAGGTCTGCCATGCCTTGTGCGTCACCTCCGGGGCTGGGGATCGAACTCGTGAAATCGCTGTGTCTAGCTTCGTGGTGCTGTGCTTAACCTGTTGCACCACCAGGGAGGGCCCAAGCTTGCAATTGTTAATGGACATCAAAAGAAGGCCTCCCTGAGGAGGTGATAGCGCAGAACTGAAGGGTGTCGACAGTGAGCTATGTGGATTATTTCTAACCTGAGACCCTGGGACCAGGGAGGACAGGCTCCATCCATCCATCCATCACGGACTCACACACACATTAAGAGTTTACTGGGAACAGTTAGACGGGACAGTTAAAGTAACTTGCACCTCTGTGGAATGTGGGGAGAGTGGTGCCCCCAGAGAAAACCCACTCAAATAGGGAACATACACACTCTACACACGGTGGCCCCAACTGGGAGTTGGTTTTGTTTTGCTCATCAACTATGAAACATGAGAAGATATTGTATTATGCAAGGGTCTGCTGACAGAGCACTAATTAGAACATCGAATTTTGCATGGTGCTTGGTAGGTAGAGGAGAGCTCTAATAGATGCTTGTCAGATGCTCGTATTTCAGATTCTCAGTCAACCATTCTGCCCCACCGCCCAGTACCAGAAGATAGTTAAGATCTATTTGGTGATTTTTGGGGTCACTGAGACACTTCTAGGTAGACAGCACTAGCTAAAATAATACCGCCAGACTCTCATCCTCGCTTTGATTTAGACCTTTATCTCACGGCATGAAATTAAGTGTACTCCTCAAAATAAACTCTTCCAACAGCTTCACTGCATGGATCAGATACCCGATTATGTGTGGGTGATTTAAAACATGCACTTGGTTAAGAACATAGATGTTTTCTGTGATTGTACCATGTTGGATTTTTCTCTCGTCCTGAACAGGAGGACTCTGACCCCAGAAGGACTCCGTTGTTTCTGTGATGCTGTGTGAGGACTGACTCCCAAAACATTGTCTGACCCCTGACCGTCAGCATGGGGAGGTGAGTGATGGTGTCCAGTCACTATTACTGTAAAACCTGAGATTTTGGTGCCACAGAAACAGATCTTGAGAGGAAAAAAAAAATCTAAATGGAAAGTCAAAGGATCCTTTTATTTTTCCTTTGTCCTTCCAGGGCCAGGGGGCTTCTGTCACAAAAAGAAAATGCCCAGTGGGTTCTAGAGGGTTAATAAGTTCGCCATTAAGGACCTGAAAGTTGGAATCATCCAGAGGTTAAGGATAATCACTGGAGGCGTGGGCAGGGAGTGATAAACTCCATGGAGGAGCACAGGAGCCCTCAGGGGAAGGGAACCTCAAGTAGAAAATCCCACTGGGTAAGCAGGCTCCCCTCACCCGATGAGAGGCATCAGTACGCGGAGCAGCCTTTAATAGGAAGAGAATAGAAATCTACTATAAAACAGATTCATCCTGAAGGTTTTCTTTCTATCTCCTCTTTCTGCCAGAAACTGAGAAGAAAACTGTTTATTTTCAGCATCTCTGGAATTTTTCTAAAACCACAGAACATAATAAAACTCACTTATTGACCTTGTTGTGGGAAGGTTGTTATGGATACTATCTTCTCCCATTTTTCTCACAGTCATAGAAGAGAAATCAGACTGGGAATTTAGTGTTAAAATCGTATTCCTTCTGAGCTACTTCTCAGAAGGACAGGTTTGGCCCCTAGAATGCACAGGCCCCCTTGGAGCTCTGCCTTGTAACAGCATGGATGTACTCAGTTTTCTTTGGGGTTTGCTTTTAATTCTTAAAATTAAACCATTTCATTATCAATTTGTGTATTTATCTTATTGAACTTTGTATTACAAGTTGTCTCGAATCCCCTTTTTTTGAAAGCAGGGTACCTCTTGGAACAGATTACTTTAAATACTTTAAATCTGATTATTTTGGAATTTCAGGATTGGAATCTCCTGTCTTTTTCCTGCCTCCTGGCATTTTAGCATCTCTCCAGTGGGGTGTCCTCGAATTCTGAATACCAATTTACGCCAGATCGTTGTTATTAGCATTCTGGCTGCTGCTGCTTCACTCTTATACTTCTCTGTTGTCATAATCCGAAATAAGTATGGGCGGCTGTCCAGAGACAAGAAATTTCAAAGGTAAAAAATAAAAACATTTATTTCCTAGATGGGATGCCATATACTTTCATTTCCTAGTTTCAAGGCTTTTGGGATTGGAATTTAAGGAGTTTATAGATATAAGAACCAGATTCTATACTGAATACAGCATGACATGAAAAATTAAACTGTTTGAAACGGATTAATCTTTAACCACCAAATCGTCATCATAAAGGGCCCTGGAATAATTGAACACAAACAGCTGTAATATCTTTCAATATGATTTTTTCAGTTAATATTGATTGTCTGGAAATGGAGCTTTTCATTTCAGAACTTATTTGAACTCTGTAAAGGGAGAGTGTGTATCTGATTTAGATTATCTTTATTACTAGTAAGACTTTTTTCCCACACTGATCATTTGGCAGTGGTAAGTGTTCCAGTGGTGCTAATGCACAGCTTAGAAATCCATGACCTGGTATTTCTTTATTACATTTGCTCCATTAGGTTTAGGATGATATTGTCTGTCTAAATAAAAGCGTGTGTTTGTTTTTCTAAACAAGGTACCTGGCACGAGTTACTGACATTGAAGCTACAGACACCAATAACCCCAATGTGAACTACGGCATTGTGGTGGACTGTGGTAGCAGCGGGTCTCGAATATTTGTCTATTGCTGGCCAAGGCATAATGGCAACCCTCATGACCTGTTAGATATCAGACAAATGAGGGATAGAAACCGAAAGCCAGTCGTTATGAAAATAAAACCTGGTAAGTAGATGATAAATGTCTGAGGATTGCCACAGAGCTCACACGAGGATGCACACAGACCGAAGACCCCTTGAACCTTACTCATTTTTAATTGAGTGATCTAGGCTCCACTTCCTCCTTCAGGCAAACCTTTAATAAGCTAATAATTCTTGTGTTTGCTGGGCACAGGCAAAGAGCTCAGAAAATTAAAAATTTCTATCTCATTTTTTAGGTTAAATTCAAGAATTTAGTCAGAGTCTCTTACAAGCCTTATTTTGATATCAGAGTATATTTCTATGAATGAATATTGTTTTTACTCTAAACTTAAGTGAAGGGTATTTATTTTTCTATTGTCCCACCCCTGAAATTTTTATATATCCCAAATCTGGAAACATTTCAGAGTTAAGGTCATATTGGTCAAATAAAAATTTCACCAGAAGACTAGAAAGTAAAACTATAATACATTGTATTTCATCCAGCTTCACATACTTCCCATGCCTTGAAGTTGTCCTTTGAGAATAAAGGGACAGCTGCGGCATCAGCCCAGGCACAAACTGGAATTTCATTAAAACCAGACTGGACATGCTTCTCTGTGAAGTGGTCCCAGGACCGTTTCAGATACTCTCTGTGCTGAAGCACTGGTTCCCAAGTACAGTGCTATGGTAAACTAATTGCTGGCTTAATGACAGCTGGAAATCACTCATTTACATGCTCATGCAGTAAATATTTACAGGGCACCAGTAATTTGGCAGGCACTGCATAATTTGAACAAGACAATTTGTACCCTTGAGAAACTTCCATCTGCAATGAGACAGGCATTAAGGTTGTTTCAGTAGGGAGTCATGAATGCTACAACCAGAGCTTGGGGTAGGCACAGAAGGCAGAGAGAGCTCACTTCAAGGTCCATTAGGGAAGACTGCCACAGAGGAAGTGGCTCAGTGGGTGAGAAGGGGCTAGCCAGGTGAAAAAGGTAGGGTGTGAGTCGTGAGGTAGACAGAGGTTTTTCCCAGTAGAGGTGCAGTGGACCCTAAGGCCAGAGTATGAAGCATTATAAAAGTTACTTTCAGCACAGCTGAAGTTGAATCAAAGGAATGTGGGAAGAGAGGAGATGGATGTGTATGTAGAACACTATACTATTCTAGAGTTTAGCTTTATCTGGAGGGCAGTGGCGAACCACAAAAGGATGCTGAGCCAATGAGAGACCCTTACTGCCCCCAAGACTGAAAAGTAAGATATTGTAGGGGGCTGGTGGAGGGTTGTGCTAGCAGGAAGAGATGCGAAGTACAGTAGATGAGCGGAAGCAAGAGGAAGCCCTTAGTGAACCCAGAGTGCACCTTGGAGGCAGGAAAGGGGTTTTCTCCCAGGTTCTAGAAGCCAGTGACAGTCAGAGTAGTCAGCACTGAGGAGGTAGGCTGCAAGCAGTAAGAGCAGGTCTGTAGTGAAAGTTGAGTTTAGATTTGCATGTGTTGAGTTTGGGGTGTTGTGAGGATAAGTGCACGGTCATGTCTGGTGGACAGTCACCACATACGGCCGTGGAAGCTAAGGGAGAGTGACTGGTGACAAGAATGTGAGAACTGAGAGCTGGTGGTGGTAGCCACGGGAGTGAGTGAGCTTGCCAGGGCCCGCTGGGAGCATGGTTCTCAGGGCTGAGAGGCTCATGTGCAGCTGATCCCACGTGCCTGCCACATAGTAGATGCTCAGTGAGGTTTGTGGTTTTTCATGACTGAGAAGAGCGCACAGACTTGAACACCTAGTACCACCATCATTTAAGAAAGAGACTGTAGAAGGAGTTGCCAGAAGGATAAGGGAAAACTACTGAGACTTGACTTTCCCTAGCCACACTGAAGCAGCATCGTTCATCAGCTAAAATGCCCATTTGCTCATGGAGGCATCCTGTTTCTCTAGGCATCTCAGAATTTGCGACCTCTCCAGAGAAAGTCAGTGATTACATTTCCCCGCTCTTGAACTTTGCTGCAGAGCACGTGCCACGGGCAAAACACAAAGAGACGCCTCTCTACATCCTCTGCACAGCTGGCATGAGGATCCTTCCCGAAAGGTGCCGCTCCACGCGAGGGGGCGGGTCGGGCATGAGGGCCCCCCTCCCCCACCCCCCCACCCCCGCACGCAGGGTGGTGTAGCGCTGTCTTACCTGCCCCCTCCCTCCCAGCATCAACGGGAAGGCATTAAAAATTCCTTCTCTGGCCCTTCCTGGTGGTGCAGCAGGTTAAAGCACAGCACTAAGAAGCTTAAGCCACTTCAGCATGAGTTCGATCCCCACCTGCCCCGGAGGTGACCACATGGCGCGGCAGACCTCTCCTGACACCCACCCACCCCCCATGCTGCTCCCCTCAGCAGTGTACTTCGTCGATCTGCCTGCTCTGCTCCCCACTCTGTCCCTGGCGAATTCGCTCACCCTCTGCATCTCTAGCCTGTACCCCAGTTCTGTATGAATAAATAAATAAATCTTAAAAAAAAAAAATTCCTTCTCAAAACCTGAAATCCTACCCGAACTAGTCCTTCAGCCAGGAGTCATCAAATAATCTTTTAATGCATGGATGACTGTAAATACTGAAGTATAAAGTGATCTTTTAAGAAATTACTGAAGGATCATTTGCAGTGACAGAATTAAATTTACATCCGAGAACCCCATAGTTTATACAACTCCTGAGAAGTCTTACCTAAACATGTCTTTCCAGGGAATTACCTTGGTTTTCAAATTAACCATTTCATACAGAGCCAGGTGGGTGTGTTTGCTTTTCTTTCTTTTTTCAAAGCAACATTTCACGTATTTTGATTCAATATCTTTGCATCGACTCCCAGTCAGCAGAAAGCCATCCTCGAAGACCTGCTGACAGACATCCCAGTGCACTTCGACTTTCTGTTCTCAGACTCACACGCCGAAGTCATTTCAGGAAAGCAGGAAGGTCAGTATATTGCTCTTCAGCCTGAAATTTGAGAAGCTGTTTCTTTACATCCTCACCATTTTTCCTAGTGTATACTTTATTGAGTTGTTCTTACTGTCTTAGAATTTGGGAAACCATATCTTCAGATAAAACTTTGAATGGTAAAATTATTATCCAAATGCAGGCCAGTGAAAAACGGCTTATTTTGTTCTTACCATACTTAGCAAACGTTTTGCTAAATTCATTTTGATTCATTTTGGTAGAGACAGTTTGCGTTCTTTGCCCAGATTACGCAGCTTTCGGGAAGCTTGATCATTGTTGAGTTGTTGGGGCTTTCTACTGCTAGGAAGGGAGAATTTTTCTTGATTTTGATAGACTGAGAAAATATTTGTTCTGTTTTCAGAATAGTGATTATACTTGAGAACAAAATGACAATAAAATTTTGGGGGAAGAGCTTGCTAGAAATAGAAACCAAAAACATTTATTTCAAGATCATCTATCATTTCAGCAATACCTCCTCTGTGAAAGGCACTGTATAGAATACAAAATTGGGTAAAAGTCAGATATTGCCATTGAACTATTTACAGAACAGTGAACTACGCATGTAAGGTAAAGTTTTAGGTGCCAAAGGAAGATAAAGGAAAAAGTATCATGGGAATTTGAAAGAGGGAGACAATTTTTTTCCAGCTAGAGGCTTGCTGGAGAAAGTGACATTTGAAGTGTGCTTCAACCGTAGTTACAATGTGCCAGAGCCTGGTAGGGTTGTGGGAGGAAGCACATTCCAAACAGAACATCAGAAACGTGTACTGTGGATGGAGGAACAAAAATATTTTTGTTTGATTGGTTTATGGACCTTTTGGAAGGTGGTGGCAAAATGTAAGGTTAGACAGGTCCTGGCTTTGTCATGCAGAGGAGTCTAGTAGAGGACAGAGTGGGAGAGCAGGGACAGACTGAGCCCATGGACCAGCACTGCCTGTCTCTAACAGCTTAAACTACAGTGCCAGTGACAGTGGGTAGACTGGGATTGAGAAAACGTCGTAAACTCAGGATGAGACCTGGCGACAAGGTGCAAGTGAGAGGCAAAGGAAAGGAGGAAAACTTGTCCTCAAAGCCTTGGAATTGGTAGGTGTAATTTCATAAAAAGCATAAAAAAAAAAAAACAGGGTTTCAGAACAACTCATATTTCAAAGGAAAATTAACACCTAGGGAGTTATATTTTCAGTCTATATACATGATATGAAACTATATTTTAAAGTTGAGAAAACTTGGGAAACCATGAGGAAGAGATGTATCACTAGAAATGAGTTGTTTCAGATGTTTTCACAGGTTGTCAGGGGTAAAACAAATGGGTATTTGCACAGATGGCTTTAATAAGAGTTACACAAAATATTTTTTAAACTGTATTCTTTTTGTGTTCACCCTGTGAAATGTCTGCAGGTGTTTATGCTTGGATTGGCATTAATTTTGTCCTTGGACGATTCGAGCATATTGAAGATGGTAAGTTATCTTGTGTCTCGCTGGAAATGATGGCTTTTAAACGTAATACAAAGGATAAAAACCGAGCTCAGTTTCAACACACAGCTCTGTGGTAGGAGTGGGGGGAGGGGGGCTCCCAAGAGAGGGCAGGAAGCTACCCTGGAAACAGGACGGCTCTTCAGAAGATCCAGGTTCTCTGGATTTGTTCTGTTCCAGAGGATGCTTCTTGTTCTTTCCAGATGACGAGGCCATTGTGGAAGTCAACATTCCTGGTAGCCAAAGCAGCGAAGCCATCCTCCGCAAGAGGACCGCCGGTATTCTCGACATGGGAGGCGTGTCGACTCAGATAGCATACGAAGTCCCCAAAACTGTAAGCTTTGCCTCCTCACAGCAGGTTATTATCTGTACAAATTCTTTCTGTTTGATTTGGTTTTCAGTTAACATGTCTCCATCCATTTTTGTTTTGTTTCTGAGTCTGAGCCCATCTTCACTGTGCTTGCTGAGTCCCGCCTTCTCCACCCAGGAGAGAAGAGACAGCAGGAAGCCAGGCAGCCTCTGCTAACTGACTTGTGTTTGTTCATTGAAGTCAGCTGGTTTGTTTTCTGAACTTAGAGTTTTTCTTTAGTTATATATATCAGTAGCATCCTTAAGTTTTTATTTTCTCTTCAGTCACTTAACTTTTCTCAACAGGTATTATAAAACTTAATACAATAATGTCATCTTTCTTAAGATATAATGGGGAAAATACTTTTTTTTAATGACCCAGGCAGCTTTTCTCATTTCTGGACAGAACTGAGGTTTGTATCTTCTGCTTCCACATTTCTGAACTTAGGGTTACTCTTTTTCTCTTCATCCCCTTCATTGCTATCACTCACTGCCTGAATTTTCCCAGTGCACTGAGCAGCCTTGCTAGAAATCACCAGTAGCGTTCCCAGGTGTATTCTTGAATGGCTGCATGACTTTACTATTCAGTTCACTTAACTGTGGATTAATAACTAAGCCTTGTTTCCCTCTCACACCCTTAGAAGCTAGGGTCCAACTTAGAGTGGGGCTGAACACACAGGAGCTCAGCGAGCCGAGGAGGCACCCTCAGCCTGTCCTCGCAGGTTGTGTGACCTTACGCAGGTCACTTGCCTTTTGTTGTGGTTTCTTGCCTGTAAATGTGAATGCCAGTGTCTCTGATGTGGCGTGTCAAAGGCCCGCTGGGCACCCAGTGTGCACACAGTGAACGTCACCGATGTGTTTACTGAGCACCCCACAACAGTACTTTTCTAAAGTAAAGAAATAATACTTGAAATAAGTTCAAGTTTTCCTACCAGAAGTGTTCCCTACTTCTCATGCCAGACACGCCTCTAGAAACTGCTACATTCTCAATAAAATGTCAAGTTTTCCCCCTCAAGATAAAGTTTAAAAGTGCATATGAAACACATTGGAAAAAATACTGAAAAATTGAGATTTAAGAATTTCTCATGAGGCATCATCCCAGAAACTTGTCAGCACGTATTTCTTTTCATTATTTTTTTTCCTAAGATTTTTTTCTTTAATGCAATTGTTATAATCTTGTCGTTTATATGACCCTGCATCCTTACTTAACTGGGAATATCCTTGTTTCTTAACAAACTATTGATTACCAATAATTATATTCTGTACTGGTATTGTATATTTAGATGATATCTAGGTCTTTTTTTTTAAATCACCGAATTGCAAAGGACTTCTCTATGTAGGATTATTTACAAAGCTTAGGGTTCTATAAATAGATTTACTAGACCAGAGGATATGAACTCTGGTTCATATTGCTAACTTGTTTTTCAAATGTCATAACAATACCCAAAAATGTTCAGCACACCTGGAATTTTTTAAGTCAAAATTGCCTTATAAGATTAGGAAGATCCTTGGGAAATGTAGTATTATTAAAAATATTACAGGTTATTATCCTTATGTCTTCAGGAGGAGGTTGCTAAGAACTTGTTAGCGGAATTTAACTTAGGGTGTGATGTTCACCAAACGGAGCATGTGTACCGAGTCTATGTGGCTACCTTTCTGGGGTTTGGTGGCAATGCCGCTCGCCAGCGATATGAAGACAGATTATTTGCCAGCACAGTTCAGAAGAACAGGTAAGTGACCTTCCTCTGCTCACAGTGGCTATCAAACCTCGGTCTCCAGGCAAAGTAGGGAGGAGACCTCCGTCCTCAAAAGAGGCCAGCATATTAGCTTTTCTTCCCCTAATGCATTCTCCCAGCTGAGCTGGAGAAATGAAAGGACAACAGATCCTGCCTTCAGTCCTTCAGATCACAGAGCCACACCTCACCCAGTGGGTTAGAAATGTCACTGTCAAGTCAGTGAAATAGAATCGAGCCCTGGGCGGTGCTATTCCAGACAACAGAGTCCTTGGCCAACTCAGTGCCTGGGCCACACAGCTCAAGCAGGAGCCTACAATGAGTCTGTGCCCTACCTGGTGATGCTGACATTGAATGATGATGTGCTGGCAACATTCTAGAACACCAGCTCATGCAGTTATTTGGTGAGAACCTTAATGTGAGAGAATGAAATGATCTAGAAACCAAAGTGTGGTCTTAAATTTTTTAGCAGTGTGAATCTTTTAAATATGAGTTTATGAAGAATTCTGGAAATATATAACACAAATGCACCATTTTACCTGTTTTCAGTTTATTTTCAGTTTAAGTATATAGTAATTATTTGAAATTAGTCCATAAAAACCAGCTAAGAATAAAAATTCTGAAATCTGAAGATATGTAAGATATCCTATTGATTCCTATGTTTTGTTTGCATTAGGGGGAAAAACTCCTAATTCATAGAGGGGAAATAATTACGAGCAGGAAGAATCCTAATGCATAGATATAAGTGATAGTGAGTTTCCTTATTTTTTGTTTTTAATAACCCCATAAAGGCCTGAACTTGAACAAAAGCCATTCAATACCACATTCACACAGGTGAATGTGAAGAACAATAAAAACTTTTTCCTATGTCTGCTCCAGACATGAATTTATAGTGTTAGCTGAGAGATAGGTGATTCCATAGTTTCTGGTTTTGTTGTGTTTTTAATGGAAGGTAATCCTTTTTGGTACAATAATTTTTTACTATAGTCTTAAAATAAAAATATTTTATTCATGACATTTGCCTCAGAGTTCTGCAGAAATACCTTCTTTTGGAGCCCTAATTTTTACTATTTAATTTTAATTTCAAGAAGCTTATATAATGGACAGTTCAGTAGTTCTACTTAATTTAGATGTGTAGGTCAACTAAAAACAGTAGCATGAGATATACATTTGACTAATCTTGGCCTTTTTATAATTAGTAAAACTGTTTATCACTTTTCATTTGTCATTAAGTTGAGCCCTGAAATGCCTTTATCTGCCATTAATAGTGATGATGATTACTTTTTAATTAATTAAATTTTGCAAATGTTAACGACCTTAACTCAGTACAGTCAAGTCCACTTCAAGTTGCCTGCTCTTAGGAATGACCTGTCAATTGGGCCGCGAGGACAGACTTGGCTTAGTCCCGATGCCCGAGTGCTGGCTTCATGTCCGCTCCTAACAGTTATCACCTCTAGGCCCTGCGGGCTTATGGTTTAGATACCACATAACTTCAGCTTTTATAAGCTCCTTTCACTTTCTCAGGAGCTTAAAGATGAGCACAAAAGTAGTGCGACAGATCTTGATACTGAGAAATTGTTTGAGCGGTGAACCTAGTGCATTTTAGTAAGCCAAGTTAAGGGTTCCTCTCTGTGGCATTTCTCAGAGCCTGTGGTACAGTAGAAACTATTCACATTTGGGATCAGTCGTTAATTTAAAAATCGGTTAAAACAGAGACTCTTGAGAACAGGTTCCAACCTGGAGCCTTCGTCTTAGCTCATGTGCTCCCTTGCCAGTCTCGTGCTCCTGGGCGCGATAGTCTTCGGCGCCATTGCCCTTCCTGGCGTGTACCACCCACCCAGCCTGATGTCATTTGGCTTTCTTTAAAGAATACTAAGGACTGAAAGATATTTGTGGCACAAGCTGATGCTACATCCTTCTAGACTTTTCCCTAACTTGGTTTTTACTAAACAAATGATTAGGCGAGGCAGCAGTTTCCTAGCAACTGGCCTTCATCATATCCAAAACATCTAACCCAGTTTTCACAGGACCAGTGACTTCTTTTCACAGTCGCATGTCATCTATGTAGCAATAAAATCACAAGCCCTTGTGGCAAAAATGTTTGGACTGGGAACACGCTGCTGAGATGCTTACAGACACTGGTGGAGTCGCAGGCCGTGCCTCGGCACAGAACGTGCTGGGGAACCTGAGCCGTGGGCTCACCGGGCGGTTCAGGGCCTGCTGGCTGCCTGGAATCTCCAAGCAGGGCCTGGGTACCTATTTTCCTAACCTAATTATCCTGGAACGGCTGTGTGTTCCCACAGAACCTGCTGCAGGGCTTGTTTCCACAGGGCATATTTTGAGAAACATCCACTTCTCTGAAACACGGTTTTGTTGGCCTCATAATAAAGTGCTCTGTCCTGTAGGCTCCTGGGGAAACAGACTGGCCTGAGTCCTGATGCTCCATACCTGGACCCCTGCTTGCCCCTGGACATCAAAGATGAAATTCTGCAAAACGGACAGACTATGTACCTCCGAGGAACAGGAGACTTTGACCTGTGTCGAGAGACCATCCAGCCTTTCATGAATAAGACAAACGAGACACAGACGTCCCTCAATGGTGTCTACCAGCCCCCAATTCACTTCCAGAACAGTGAATTCTATGGCTTTTCTGAATTCTACTATTGCACTGAGGATGTGTTACGAATGGGGGGAGACTACAATGCCGCCACGTTTACGAAAGCTGCAAAGGTGACCTTCAGGGAACCCGTCTTCTGCATACTTTTAGAGCCTGTGAGAACAGTGGCGGGCCTACCCTCCCAGCTCATTTGGAGGTCTGGGCCAAATGAGGGGGAGGTGAAGGATGGAACGTGGTATCGCAACACGTTGGGAATCCTCTTCCCTGGCTGGGAGGGCATAGAGCAGAAGTGAAAACTCCACTGTGAGCGACTTCTGCCCCCCACTCCCAGTGGCCTCCCACCTAATGGCTCCTGCTACTGTGTAAGATTATTCCACTCCCTCGGCTGCCAGGACTCCTAGTCCAGCTCCTGCCTTTCTGAGAGGTGCTCAGGCTCCCTCAATGCTTTCTCCCTTTTACACCCCTTGGCACTTCCACCTTTGGCCTTTTGACCTTCAGGGTTCTGGATGGTCTCCCCCCTGCTCATGGCTGGCTGCTGCGTCTGAGAGTCCCAGTCCTGACCCCTGGCCAGTGCCAGCTGGATGTCGCGGTCTAAACATGTCTCAGTTAATAGCATCATCCCCACCCTGAAACTCAAGAGTTATAGATGTCTCTGTCACGCATTTATCCCTAGCTGGATACCCACATATAATCAGTCATCAAGTATATTATTAGCTCATAAATATTCGCGGACCCACCCCTGCTCTCTGCCCTGTTCTCACTGTCCTAGTCCAGGCTTGTCTGTCACTGTGCTGTACTGCTGGAGCTTCCCAGATGGCTTCTCTGCCATGCATTCGCCACATTTTCCAGCATGTTCTGTTTGAAATATAAGGGCCACCACTTGCTCTCCTGTTTAGAATCTTCAGTGGCTTCCTTTTGCCTCAGCCTTTTCTTCCTACCACCCTATATACTGAAGTCATATCTGGCAGCTTTTCATTTCCCTTATGTTTTTGTTTATGTTGTTCCACTGCCTGAGACCTCTGTCCCCCCTCTCACCGAGTGCCACTTCCTGGGTTTCCTACCACAGGCTCCAGGAAAGTTTACTCTCTTCTCAGAGCCTCAAGTTCTTCACACTTTAAATAGAGGTTAAGAGAGTAGCCCTGTCAAAGAGTTAATTATTCCATTCAGAGAATGCACTTACCCGAAGCCCAGTAAATGTTACTATTAAACCAGCACAAGCACTTCAGGAAAAGGTGCACCTCTTTCCTTTCCCTTAAAGACACAGCTTTTTGTGACCTGCTCTCAGGATCCTGCACCATGTGGCCTTGAAACCCGTTTGTAAAGTATGACTGTCTCATGCAGCCATGGAGGGAGAATCTAAGCAATTTTGAGGAGCTGGCTGTGGGCAACAAAAATTTTTTAATATAATAGTTTATTTTTACATTATTTTGTGCCTTTTTCCATCTCAGTTGTAATCCCCATGGGCTTCCCATCACCAAATCAACCATGTGCCATCACCATAGGGGCTGTAAAATTTTTAACAGTAACCTTGGGAGAATTTTAAGATGAAGAAGCATCCCTGTCTTTACTAACCAGTAAGCACTGAGCACATTCTTGCCTTCCTGCTCGAGCGATAAAACGTAAGCTGGTGTTCCATGTTCCCTAATGGGAAGTACATGCTTTTTATGAATATGAATTTGGAGAACACGTGTTAGAATGGAAAAAATTGTTTAATAAGATTTTACTAATTTATGTTGGGTGAAATTTCTTTCAGGATTATTGTGCAACAAAATGGTCCATCTTGCGAGAACGCTTTGACCGAGGGTTGTACGCGTCTCACGCTGACCTCCACAGGCTAAAGTGAGTAGTGGGGCTGAGCTCGGCATTTATGAGGAACTGCATACGGCACTGGCTCCTGGACTTGCCAATTCTTGCCTCCACCTTGCCTTTTCATCCCTGTCAGTCACTGTTCCCTCTCATCACCCTGGGCTCCATTTAAGTGGCACAGAAGCTGGTGTCTGGACACATCCATCGTTTTGGCTCGATGTTGCTGTTCCTTCTACTGTGTTCTCCTGTGGATCTTGCCTACATGTCAGATCTGGTCAGTTGCGGTCCTGTTAGTCTCTCTCTCTGGCCACCCAACTAGACTCCATCCGCATCTCTCATGTCATCTGTCATGTTCTGCTTTGTTTTATAGTTATTTGTTGCTTTTTAAAAAATCCTTTCATTAAGTCACTTAGAGTAACAGTTTTATTATTTATTATCTACTGCTTGTTTAACAGTACTTTGCAACAAGTAAGCTCTGAATAATTAGAATCATTGAATACCAGAGCTGAAAAGGACCCTCCTGCCGTCTCATTTTATGATAAAGAAACTGAGAGCCAAAGAAGTTGGAACTTGCTGAGTTTTATTCAGTGACTAAAATAATGGGGTGCCTGAGAGTCACCTGTCCCAGCAACACATCACATTATACCAAGACCAGGCTTCATGAGCTGACTGGTCTGCCACGTAGATGTTCTGTGTGATGGACAGGTGTGAACAACTAACGCAACTAGAAATGCCAGGGTTGGTTTGGCTGCCCGGAGAGTGGCCTAGTGAATCCTGTGGGCCCAGGTTGGCGGCACAGGGGAGGATTCCGTGTAAGGGGTGTCTGGACAGTTACTCCACTTATGTTTGCCTTGATGTTTTGTAGGTATCAGTGCTTCAAATCTGCCTGGATGTTTGAGGTGTTTCATAGGGGCTTTTCATTCCCCACCAACTACAAAAATTTAAAGACAGCATTGCAAGTTTACGACAAGGAGGTTCAGTGGACCCTTGGAGCCATCCTTTACAGAACCCGCTTTTTACCCTTGAGGTATGGCTGTGAATTTGGTAAGAGAATCAAACAAGAATGCTTCTTGCAATTATGATGCATTGTGGCCACTGATTTGTCTGGGGTGTCTGGGGTGGTGGAGTTAGTGCTGGTGTGGGCAGAACAGCCCCGGTGAAGCTGTGGCCTTTTCCAGCTGGCTGCCCTGCCCCTCTTCCTGCCTTTCGTTCCATAACATGCAGAGCTGGTTCCAGAGATCTTACCCTTGGTGACTTCAACCCCCTTTCAAAATACTGTCTTTAATGCATAATCTAAATACGGAGGACTACGGGGGAAACTGTGGTATTGACATGTATCTATCAAAGCTATAGAAAACAACCGGCAGTACTACTAGATTTCTTTTATTAGCACAGATAACGAGGTAGTACTTTCTGTAACTTCAGTGTGGTGGTACGTGTGGATGGTATTTGCAAGAAACCTGCACACCCCCGTAACATGAGGCCAAAGATCTTTTTCAGCAGGGAAAAAGGGATCCAGCTAACATACAACACTTTGTTGTCCACGCTGCGTTCCAGTCAGACTGCTCAAACAAATGTGTCGAAACAATGACACATCTAATCTAAACAAATGACTCTCAGTTGACCCCCATGTAAGAACCCTGGTTCACTGATACAGGATGCATTCACTTTGGGGGGTTTTCCCCTTCATTTAATTGAGCCTCTGCAGACAGTATGTTTAACTGCACAAATTGCACATCCCGGGCACGGCCTACAAAGGCCTGTTTGGTTCCAGGTTGGCCTCCATGGAGTAGTGAAACTCGCAGTTCTGAACTTCTCTCCCCGCATGCTGTGCACTGTTACATGGCGTTCTGTGTCTGGCTAGCTGTCTGCTCCCTCCTCAGAGGCTTTGTTGGTTGTGTTTCCGCGTGGCAGGGATATCCAGCAGGAGACCTTCCGAGCCAGCCATGCCCACTGGCGGGGCTTCTCCTTCGTTTACAATCACTACCTGTTCTGGGGCTGCTTCCTGGTGGTCCTGCTCGCCATCCTCCTCTACCTGCTGCGGCTGCGGCGCATCCACCGGCGGACTCCCCGGAACGGCTCTGCCGCGGGCCTCTGGCTGGAGGAAGGCCTTCCCCCGCAGAAGATGGCCGGCCCCCTCTGAGCCGTGGGCCACAGAGCCCGGGGAAGACTTTCCACAGGAAAAGCCATTTTTGCCTCAGGGGTTCTCCTCTTTATTCTCCTCTGGTTTCATTTTTCCTTTCCCTCTTCAGTCTTTGAAATGAAAACAAAATCCACTGTCTGTGAATTTTGCTGTCATGCAAGTATTGCATTTGGCCGGTTTGTATACAGCTTTAAATCAAGGCGTAGGAAAAAGGGAAAATCATTTGAGTGATTTTTGCTGCACAAGATAGCAACCAAAAATTGTTAAGATTTTTGGTCTTTCTTTATGGTATGTTATATTTTAAGCAGATGCACTTTGATATTGGAGGAAAATGGCAAAAGGGTTTCCTATCATTGGAGACAGGAGTGAAGAGTGAGACTTTTGCAGAACCAAAAATCTTACTGATGAAATTATCATCCACTTTTTCTCTGTCGTGAAAGTTATAATCTAAAGAGGGTGATGTTTATTCACTTTTTATTTATTGTTCCAGTCTGTCACTGTTTTCTTTGCAGGCTTAAAAATAAAAACCATTTATATCCATAACAGAGAAATATACATAAAAGAAAGTAGCTATTTTTAAAATTGATAGTGAAGAGACCTGAAAAAATGTGAACTAAAGCTCTATATGTTGGAGGTTAAAAGGCCAGTGAATGAGGGAATGCAGTGTTTTGAAGATACACACACTTAAGAATTTAGTTTCATTTTTTTAAATTTCTTTTATTATATTTTCTTGACCACAGGAAATTATTTTCCGTGGCCCATCTTTCAGTGACCTTTGAGCACTTGGTTGTTGAGGAGCTTGAAAACTCAAAGTCTCACTGGGTTAGATGTTATGAGAACCAGACAGGCTATGTTGGCAATAACTCTAAGTCCAGACAGGGAAGGGCCTGAATTTAATGTAAGAATAAATTCATGTTTTGAAGAAATCAAGTTTGGCATTTGAAACAAAAACCTAAAAGGATCACTGGACTGGCATATGTGAGATTGCTTGGTTTTCACTTGTTAATGTAGAAGCTTGAGAATTCTCATACGTGGTTGTTTTCGGTGAAGTTCTTTGTGTGTGTTTGCACACGTGTGCCATTTCTTATTCCAGATCAGCCTAGTCCATCTGGTTGTTAGCTGGTCTATCTTTTAAGAAACATCAGTTGCTTTTTGAAATATCACTGACTAAAGAAAGAATTTATTTAATTAGAAAAAGCTCTTAATTAGAAAAAAGTTGGATTTTCTCTTGTCTGTGAATTACTTAGAAACATAATATGTCCTGTATACTTAAAAGATTACAAACTTATGAAAGATGCAAATGCTGTTACTGTGCCCTTCAAAATTCTAGCTAAGAAAAATTATTGGGAAGGAAACTTTGCAGTGAATTTGCCAGGCACATGCCCCTCAAATACCCCCAGAAAGTTAGAGGAACCACATGAACCCACCTAATGGATACAGAATCTTGTTTCAGAGAAGACAGGGGTCAAAGATCCCTATGAAAAGTACAACTTCTGAAACGTTCTTCTTTGGCTGTTTAAACCCCTGGTAAACACTGTTCTTTATCAAAGCCCGCGCCACAAGTCGGCTGTGTCCTGGATACCTGGGGAGCAGAGGGAGTTGCCTGCTTCTCCCTGAGCCCGTAGATGTGACTTGCCTTGTAGACTATGGGTGGCATTATTGGTGAACGGAAATTTACATTTCAGGTTGTTTTGCCACCAGCCTGTAAGAGTAGTGAGGGTTTAATCTCTAGAATGAAAATATTCGAATGCCTCAAGTGGGAGTTTATCCTTAAAAGGCAAAGCAAGGATAACCGAGCATAGGCCTTAAGAGTCCCTACTGTAAATAGCCACTTTTGAAATACAGGATGCCAGTTAGGTCCAGTTTGGTTCTGCACTGTTTGGGGCATAGACAAAAATGCAGAGGACTTCTGCTTGAGCCTGACCTCATGATCCCTCTGCAAGGACCTACCTCACTCTCCACAAGAAATCCCCAAATTTAGGTCCCAAGACCCAACAACCTTACATTTAATAAAGCTGAGTGCCCACATTCTCTGCAGAGCTCCTTAGATTAGGGTGTGACACAGTTGCCCATAAGGAAAAGCTAGGTGACCCTGAGCTGAGAATGGTTTTCATTTTGTAAAGCGTTGTTAAAGAAAAAACAAGGTGAGGTGTCAACAGAGGAAAGATACAGGCACACCTCGGAGGTACTACAGGCTTGGTTCCAGACACCACAGTGAAGCTAAGTGGCAATACAGCCAGGGCTATTTTGGGGTTTCTCGGTGTACATGGGAGTGATGGTTACCCTATACGGTAGCCTATGACTGTGCAATAGCATTATGCCTAAATGTATGCACCTCAATTCACACAGACGTGAAGTTTGAAAAATAGCACCACTAGACTCGTTCCAAGCAGGGTTGCCACAAACTTTGCAAAAAAAATGCAGTCTCTGCAAAGTGCAATAAAGCAACGTGCAATAAAGTGAAGTGTGCCTATGTGTGGCAGCAGCCTCTTCCGAACAGGTGTTGCCATTTGTGGACACAGAAAGATGGGCAAAACAATAGACAAACTTGACTCTTAAGTATTTGTAATATTTTTCCTGAACCAGAATTTCACTTACACTTCTCGATTATTTTCAAGATTAGTTTTTTAACAACCCAGATTAAGGTGTCCGTCCCCGAATCTCCCCAGTCTAAAAAGTGCTGTTCAGGAGGACTCACCATGTTGTGCGGAGAGTCTGCGGTCAGTCGGTCTCATCCCCGTACTTTTCCGAGTGATGGGCTGGGCTGAGGCAAGCAAGGGCGGAGCGGGCTTCTGGACATTGACTCTGTAGAATGAAGATCTGCTAAGGGCTGGCCAGGAAAACAGTAAACTCAACACTTGTAATAGAGAGCAAGAGAAACCGGGCTGGAGGAAGCCTGAAAAGCCTAACCCAGGTTGCGCCATGTTCACCATCGGCTGCGCCTGCGCCTGCGCTCTGGCCCGTTAGGCACCAGGTGCTGCCTTTTTAAGCCCCCAGAGGATGTTCTCAGTTTTTGCAGTTTACTTAAGGACATTACAGTAAACGTGCAAACACTGACTTACCCCAGTGGCTCTTGCACATGTTTCCCCCTAGACTGCTGGCTGGGCAGAGCTTCCCAGCCTGGAGAAGCACATTCTAAACTGGGGAGGCTGCCTGTGGTTCAGCCTGGCCGCCTGGAGGCCGAGATGACTTGTTCCCTCACTGCCCACACCTGTGCCCACACCTGTGCGCTCAGGTGGGCACACCTAGGTTCACGTGGATCTGCGTTCTAAACTCAGGCTTAGAATAGTTTTCCTTGTAAGAAGCCTGTGCTACTTAGCAAGAAGCTGAAAAAACAGATGTGTTTCCCACACGTAAAAAGACTTTAGAATTTTGGTGGTAACGTGCAATGCAGCAAAACTACCTATAGGTCAGTTACTTAGTTATTTCTGTTTCACGTTCTGTCTTGTTCCCTCTCAGTAATGAATGTTGTGGTCAGCCAAGGAGAATCTTTGTCCTGTTATCAAGATTTTGGGAATTACAAAAATTAAAGAAGCATCTTTAAAGGTTTTTTTTTTTTTTCATTTGATGTTTTCCATTCAGAGTAAGAATAATGGGGGGGGGTTGTGTCATCATACTTTCTATATGTGGCAAACTCGTGTGGCTACACTTATACACAGATGAGTGTTAAGAATCAATAAAATGAAAGTTCATCCAGTGACCCAACGACTCTGAGCATGCTTTTTGCGATTCAAGTAGATGTTCATCTGTTAGAATGCCTGAGTGGACTTGCATGTACACTCGGCAAAACACACTAGGGCAGTCTGACCTGCGCCCTGTGCCTTTTGCTGGACTCGATCTTGGTGAGTGTGGCCATGTGTCACGGGGGGAGGAGGTGTCCTGAAACCAAATATTTCACAAGGAGAGACAGTCACTAAAGTGTACTATAAAGCAGTCTCCCACCAATAAAGACCAGAGGCCAGAAGTTTATTTTAAAGCACCTATTTACTGCATGTGTAGACAAAAAAAACTGAACCAATTTTCATATAATTTCTCAAATAATATAGTAAAATGAAATGCCAAATTTATGCATTTTGCAGTTAGACCTAATCTTAAATCCATTGGCTTACTTCCACAGAAATAGGAATCTCATATTTCTCGATTAACCTCTATTAATGTTATAATAGCTATTAATATTACTAATAGCTGGTACTCACAGTTACGAATAGTTTTTTTCAGTTGTTTGAGAATGCCTATGTGGAGATTTTCCTGGAGGAGGAAGGTGGGTCTGAGCCATAACTGAAAATAGATGTTAGAGACAGATGGAAAGGAGAGGAAGTAGCTGTGAAGAACAACAAAAATAAAGCCCAAGACAAGTATGAAAAGGGGTGAGACAGAAAGGCAGAGCAAATGGGGGAGTTGGGAGAAGCCCAGGAGCACAAAGCTCAAACTGTTGACAGCAAGTAGAACAGGATAACAATATGAAAACAGAACTTGCTCAAATCATTTTTTGAGGCATACAATAAATATAGGTCTTTGTCATTTTGTGGGGGTGGAGTGAGGAATGGGATCAAAAACGGGAGGGAAGTGCACGGGACTATGGTGATGGCACACTGGTGACCATGCGGTGATGGGAAAACCACAGGGATTGCAATTGAGATGAAAAAAAAAGTACAAAATGATGTAAAAATAAACTTATAAAGAAAAAAAAATATATATAGGGCTTTGTGCCTGAGAATAAACACATTACAACATGATGTCTGAGGTTGTCTAGATCCCATCCCATTTGCTTGAAGACAAGCCCCCATCTCCAGTGGCTAGTGGGTGACAGATTGGGAAGGCAGAGTTTCTGCTCCGGGTTTCCTTTGTTCCTGTTAGCCCCATATATTTGGAAGGCACAGTGGATCTTTGTCTTGAGATCTTGAAGTGCTAATGGCTTGTGGTGCTCTCACTGGTCTGGGAAGGAGGAGGGGCAGGCCACCGCTTTAAGAACCAGACTGCCTTGGGATGACAGAAAGGTCAGCAAAAGTCAAAGGAGTGCCATTAGTCCCCAAATCTAGCTTGCAGCTTCAGTGGTTTGCCAAGAGAGCCTGAGTACCAGATGAAACCCAATACCTGTGGGTCTTCCCCAAGCCCCTCTTGGCTAACAGCCAGCTTGCCACAGCCTGTGAGCCTCCTCTTAGCAAGAGCTGACCTTCCAGTGCCTTTCTATTGTCTTTAACCTAGTCAGTCCCCATCCCACCCACCAGGTGCTGAGTTGCTTCTTCCTACTGCAGTATCCATTAAGGCCGACTCTATTCTTACCTTTTACTGCTGCCCTCCTTTGGCAGGTGAATTGCATTCTGGGCTCCAGACTTCATGGCTACTTGAACATTCTTGTCAGTAGCCTGTTGTGTGTAAGAGACCCAAACAAGCCCAAACAAACCAAACTTTCAGAAGCCGTCTGGTCCTGAGTAAAGTGCTGACAGCCTCTTCGCGTTGACGCACCCTACAACCCTGCCCGCCTGCGGCCAAGCGGTACCTCTTTCCCTTTCTTTTCCTAGTAGCCCAAAATGTTAAACTACACACACTCTACTGTATAGAGGAAAAGGAAGATTTTTTTGCCTCCTGAACAGAGAAGGAGGAAATGTGGTCTGGGACCACATCAACAGAGAGTCTTCTCCTCCCCAGTGTGGGACTTACTCTCTCACTGATTTCTAACAAGCGCCCACATGCTGTCCCACTGTTCTAGTTTACTGTTGGCAATTCTGACATTACCTGTTGTCTTTTTTGCCTTTTATGTCAGTTACAGTCTGAAGGGACCAGCTTGGGAAGAGCTGCTCTCCCCTCGGTGACTCCAGCAGCCAGACAGCACTCTCTCTGCCAAGCGTTCACCTTCTCCACCTGGCACAAGTTTATTCATTGTCTAGATTCTAGATTCTAAAAGAATGAGCCACAAACACTTCATAGACTCCACTCAGCCTGTAAAGCCTTTGTTTTGATCAAAATTCCAGAGCATTTCTGGAATTGCCTGGCCTTTCCCCATAATGTTCAGGTTACATTATAGACTCAAACTTCATGGTCCCGCTGCTCATCAGTAGTCTCTTCCATCCCAGAACCTCTGAAAATGGATCCCGACAGCTCTGTGTTTACTTCCTGTATTCCCATTTTTATAACAAATCAAAAAGGGAAAACTTTGTAGCACATAGTGCTATAAATGTAGTCTAATCCAATTCTGGTTTTCATTGTGAAATCACACCCTGGGTTTCTAGGGTTTGTGGGAAACAAATATCCTATGAATGTTCCTCAATTTTTTCCCCCCCCAGACTGCTGCTTTCTGCAGTTTTAGAACTGCTTACCATACGATAAGGGCGAAATGGGATTCCCAGCCTCTCAGCCTCTGTCCACTCTCCCTACCATAAAGCTTGTCGGGGTGTCTTGCAAAGTCCCGGCCGGGTTCACCAGCCACTCTAGCCATTTGAAGCACACAGGCTTCAATGGTACCCAGGGGTAAACAGGTAGTGGGGGGCGGCAACTTAGGCCCCCTGAGTGTCTCTCTGCACTCTTTTCTCTGGGCTTCTTTGGGTTCTTTCATGCTCTCTTCCTCTGGCAGCTTCTCCCCGAAGGCGTGTCTCAGGAAGCTGCCCTTACATCCCTGCCTCTAGGCTCAGGTGTGCCCACTTGCACATGCGAACACACGTGGGCAGGTGGCCATAGGCAGGCACGCATGCCCCACACCCACACGCCCTCCTTACCACAGTCAAGGCCATAGGTGATAACCACAGAGGCCACTGGCACAAATGCCTGACCGACTTCCTTTGCCCTACAGGAGGTGCTGGGTTTGAAAGCCTGTTTAGGAAAGCTTAATAGAACCAGATTTACTGCACATGGTTTCCTTTCTTCTTAATCCATTCAGTCTTAAATAAAAGGAAAAAGAAACCCCAGAATTAGGTAGTAGTAAGTAGGGCCAATTAACACTGATGTTTTCCACAGCCCAGTTTAGAGAAAAGAACTCCTGTGTATTTGTCTAATACTAAGCATAGCTTCAGAACTTTTTTCATAATAGAGTGTCCTTAAAAGTTCATCTCTGAGTTCTCCCTGGTGGTGCAACAGGTTAAAGCATTGCATTATGAAGCTCTCAGAAGCCCTGCAGCAAGAGTTTAATCCCCAGCCAGGGAGCTGACCCACATGGCACAGCAGACCTCGTCTGACCCACCCGCTGCTCCCCTCAGCAGTGTACTTCATCCATCTGCCTGTTCTGCTCCCCACTCTGTCTCTGGTGAATCCTCTCACCGCCCCTGCACCTCTGGCCTATACCCAGTTCAGTATGCATAAATAAATCTTTTTTTAAAAAAAAGTCCATCTCCTTCTAAACTCTCTCCAAAGTGGGGGAAGAGTAGATTTAGTGATATCAAAAATAAGAATTTCCATTTAACAGATATCACAGCCAAAGCTAACAGATGGGAGACCACGAAGTTGTTTGCAGTGACTCAAATTGAAAAGAGATTAATATATATTATATAAGAATTCTTGCAACCATCAACCAACAACCAAAATATAAAGGGAATTCAGAAGAAAAATAGGCCATGTGAATTAATAGGTGATCTGCTGAAGAGCAAACCGATGGATTAATAAGAAGAGAACAAACTGAAGGAGCCAGAGAAATGGAGGTGAAAGTGTACAGCCACTCACAGTGTTGGCAGAGGTGGAGAGAGTAACTTCTGTATTGCTGCTGGTGACATAAGTCTTCTCTGCAGGCAGTCTGGAGAGCCAGCTGGCAGCGCTGTGACGTTAACCACCACACATCCAAGATCCTGAGTTTACTGGAGAAATCACTATCTGGGTCCAGAAAGATGTTCTCAGTAATGGTAGATGCTATGTTGGAGTAAAGCAAAGTCAGAGAAAAAAATAATACTGTGCAGTCACTAGAAAGAATCAATGTAAATGGAGGGATATTTTAAAATATAATAGTTTATTTTTACATCATTTTGTGACTTGTCCCATCTCAGTTGTAATCCCCGTGGGCTTGGGGGGGGGGGCGCTGCCTCGGGCGGGGGTGCCCTCCGCTGATGCCTCTGGGCTTGACAGTCTCAGCCGGAAGCCCGCCCATCAGCCGGCCTCTCT